TATTTGATCTCCTTGTAATTCAGATTTTCACATTTTATTGTTGTCGCTGTGGCTGTATTAATGTGTAATTCTTTCTTTAGTAAAATGCTCTCATGTTTTTTATTTCATAAAAAAACATACCAAATGCCTCTAAAATTGCATCTCATGCACTTCTTATGATCCTTAAGCTTGGCAGTACCTTGTGTTTGATATTTTTTAAATCACAGATGAAATTCCTTTGAACAACGTCATACCTTCAGGGTTTCTATTAACAAAAAAATAAATTATTTATTTATTTATTTATTTTCCCATTCAGTAGCATAATTGTCCTTATATTCTGTTTGTTTACTTCTTCTAAGACTGACTGCCATCTTTTTTTTTTTTTTTTCCTTTTTTTCTTCTGTGTTCATTTGATGAATTTGGAAATTGAGGAACCATGTGTTACTGGAGACGACTAAGAGGATACCTTATTGCACTCTACAATTCCTGAGGAAAGGAAGTGGAGAGGGAGGTTCTGAGCTCTTCTCCCTGATATCCAGTGACAGGAGTGATAGGAATGGCTCAAAACTGCATCAGGGCAGGTTTAGGCTGGACATTAGGAGGTGTTTCTTTACCAAGGGGGTGGTCAAACAATGAAACAGGTTTTCTAGAGAGGTGATCAGTGTACCAAGCCTGTGAGTGCTCAAGAGGCATTTGTACAATGCCCTTAGCGATGTGCTTTAACTTTTGGTGAGCCCTGAAGTTTTCAGGCAATTGGAATAGATGATCGTTATAGGTCCCTTTGAAGTGAAAAGATACGTTCCTCTCTTCATTTCAATCCATTCTTTAGAAATCATATGAAAAATTTGATTCTAAGTAATTCCAGTATTCACAAGTAAGCATTTCAATTCTAGATGTTCAGTAGCATGTTTTACTCCATTTCAAGACCTGACCTGTATATACTATCAGAGATATGCAGAAAACTTCTGCGTTTTGGAGGAGTATTTAACCTCTGTTCTAGATCTAAAGGACGTAAAAGACCCACCTAATTTATGTGTAGATGTGGTAGCATGGGAAGAAACACTTTTCTTGCATAGCATAATGGATGGCTGAAGCTTACTGAGGAATGGCCACGATATTCAGAAAAATTGAGATTCTGAGTAGTGCAACTGCTTTTGAGGATGGTGGTGTGGGGTAAGAAAAGTTCTTGGAGCAATTCACAAGGAGTGTCAAGCTGTCATTGTAAGCAACCTCAGTATAGGGAAGAGAATTTGCATAGAACTACCAGTTCTGTTAGCTGTAGTCATCTGACTTGGAACCATGATCTGAATGCTTCATTTCTTACAGTTATTCTGAGAAAGATCCAGAATAGTTAGAGAGTGATACATGAGGTTGACAAAGTACAAGCAATAATTCAGGGTATTTAATCACAGTGAAAGTGCAGTATTTACAGAATATTAAATGTTCACTTGAAGGATGCGAAGTAAGACTGAGTATTTGAAAAAAAAAGAAATATTCTATTTGAGATTTATAGTATGGAAAGAGCACTGATTTATTGTATAGGCTCTTGTAAGGATTTCTGTTTTAGTTTTCATGTTGTAATTTAGCTGAAATTTATTTTACTACAAAAGTCTTCCACATGTTATATTAAAAATAGGGTGTTTTAAGAAAATATGATTTAACTTGTGTGTGTGTGTGTTATTGCATCCAGAGCTGTACCCAAGATAAAGATGAAAATGCATTATGTATTTTTACAGTTGGCTACTGACGGTTTTTAATGTAGCATAGTTATTTAAAGTAGTGCCCACAGGGACTTCAAGACCTCTTTTCTGGCTGATAATAGCAGATTTGAGAGCCTGTCATTTTGTACATATGGATAAAACTATAATAATGTGGTATAACTTTGCATTAACTACCTTTACTCTGGCCTGGCCACTTTATCAGAAAAGTCTGCAGCTCACAGTAGCTGGTGTGTTTTAACTGCATTTAACGATGTTTGGATCTTCAGCAAACTTTATGGTTTTATTAGTATCCACACTCATTACCAGCTTATTTTCGCTGTGATTCTCTACTGATAATCCCCCTCTTGTGAAGACTGACTATTTTTTCCTCTTTACCTGCTAGCTTTTGCTTGGGAAATGTAGCTGCAGAAGGGTTGTTAGGGAAAACTTTTATTTGTAGTGAATGTTCTACTTCATTTCTTGTCTGAGTTGTACTTTCTTTTTCATGTTGTAGAGGAGAGATGGTTGCTTTGTATTACTCGTAAACAATTTAACCATGGCAATTTGTTTCTTTATGCTCACTTCAGTTTTGTTTGTATCTTCCTTGCCTTCTTAGACTTCTTTTTATGTTGACTGTGAATATTTTTAATTTATGTTGATTTTCCGGATGACTACCTTTAAAAAAAGTAAGCCTCCCTCTGCTTTCTTAAATTTTGCCATTACAGTTAATTAGTTCATTAATTTATTTCCTTTATTGAGGAAGTTGATTTTAATTATAATTTTTATCATGGTTAGTGGCTGAAATATGCTTAAACTTCAGTTAAGGGCAAATCAGGTACATTGACTGTTTCTCTTGGTGAAATATTCAGTCACTCTGATGGACAATAAATCCCTTGCTGCCAAAATGACAAATAAGGTAATTGTAGTGGCTACTGGATAGTTTGTAGCCTACTAGAAGATTGTCTATAAAACCAATTTTATTAGCATTCAGTGTATTTTTTGATGCAGATTCACTGAGATATACAGGCAGCTTGTTTTTAATGATACTAAAACATCCCATCATTTCAGACTGATACAGAGATTTCTATTTCAGTCTTTTAAATGTTACATATTAGTATATTAGTTTACATTAGCAAGCAGATACAGTTACAATAATTTTGACTGTTTTAACCATTGTATGTTACTTTATTAATTTACATTAGCAAGAATTTTACAGTGAATAGTGTTTGAGTAAAGGGGGATCAGTCTGTATTGAAACCTTTACATTGTAACTGAGGTATTACAAGTTTTTTCCTTGTTTTACGTTCATCTATTATCAAAAACAAATGGTGGGATTCATCTCACCTAAATTAGATATCTGGAAGTTGTGTATCTAAACATTATCATAGAACTGTTGAGGTTGGAAGAGAACTCCGGAGGTTCTCTGATCCAATCCTCCTGCACAAGCAGGGCCAACTAGAGCCAGTTGTCCAGGTCTATATCCAGGTAGCTTTTAAACATATCCAATGATGGAGACTCCGCAAATAAAATTTATCACCCTAAGTTTTCTGCATGGAAAGAGATTGAGAAAAGCAGACACCTTCAGAGGTGCTTTGTTTCTTCTTAGGTTAACCATCTAAGGGAGTTTAATTGAATGTCTTCTACAAGTGCCTGTTTACCTCTGTGTGTGTTTTCATATAATCTCAGAAAGGTTAGTCCAGGATAATATTTTTATTTGAATGTAATTAAATGTCTCAGGAAACTAAGGAGGTAGTCAGTTTATGTATTTAATAAATGAGAAGATTTTATGTTAGGAAATAATAAATTGTTTATTAGCAATTAATCAATAAATTAAAGTGTAAATGGATAAAAAGTCTGAATTAGGGTAGAAGCCAAAGCAAGTCCTTGATTAGTTGTATTGATTCTGTCTGAAGATTGATTCTGAAAGAAGACTTTGAGTATTTGAATAGGTTTAACTATTAAAAAAAAAAAAAGTTTGCATGGTATTGCAGCTGGCTTCTTGTTTGGAATTTAATTTGAAGGCAATACCAACTGCTTTTAAATAGGGTATGAAATAGGCTATTAAAATTACCATTGAAATTATCTACTTATAAGAGATTAATTATTTGAAGATCTTTAATTTAAAGCACATTATTGCAATTTTAATTCTCTAACTTCCTGAAACAGAGAAAAAGGGTCTTAAAATCATTTTAGAATCAATTTATTCTCTTATTTTGCCTTTCTTAATTAGGTATTTGCAGTTATTGAAATTTAACATTGGTGATTTCAAAATTCTTCAAGGGTAAGGTAGGATGCATAAGAGGCTTTGTTTTCTTCAAAACTGAAAGATGTTTATGCCATTAGGAGGGGATTATTTTTTTAAACTGAGTTTCATATTCAGTTCAGTACGGTGCTTAGTGTTAATCTTTTTTAAAGTTACATAAGACTGTTGAAATTGATTAATTCAATTTCTTGATGTATATGTGCTCTTGACTATTATCTTTTGCAAAATTTTGCTAGTCTGTGTTGTTTTTTTTATCCCAACTACCTGTCCAGCAGTTGTGCTATTTAATTGGAGCAAAGGACTTTGGATAGCATTTTGCAAATATCTGGGAAGATAGGAGTCAGGCTATAGTTTCATCAATACTTCTGTTAAATCACTTTTCATTTGAGTGTTTGTTCCTCTCCCAGTGCTCTCTTCTTTGCAGAAGCAGTGGGTTTCTTTGGCCACAAGGTGAGATAATCTGTGGTATAAGTAATTAAGTTTTCCCTGTCTGCATTAGGCCAGAGCAGATCACTTACTCTTTTTCTGAGCATGAATGCATGACTATTTGGGTAGTACAATGGGAAGGGCAGTAAGGTCTTGCAAACTTGTAATTAAGGGCAGATGTTGGCTTCCATCTGGAGAAAACATAGCTAAGTTATTTTCAGTGTCTTTGTATTTCTGAGTAGGAAAATTTCAGAGAACTGTAGGGAACCTTCAGTTTTTATTGGGCTTTTCAGATTCTGTACCATCTGCACTACATCTTTCTTGGACAGGCTACCATTTCAATTACTGTGTAGGAAGGAAATTTTCAAATGGATTTTAATTTTATTTTATGAAAGCATTATAACAATATTGACAGTAATACCTTAGGCTATTAACATGTATATGTTTTACAAGCTGTTTTGTATGTCATGATTGTTAATTTGCAGTCTTACAAGTGCCTAGCTGTGAGTTCCTCTATCAAAATTACCTCCCTCATCATGCAAAAAATATTCAGTGTTTGTCACAATGAAGGTATGAAAGACCTTAAATTATGTGTTTCACATTGTAATGTTCTACTTGTTTTCTTTTTGTAGCTGGTTGGTGGCGAATTTGATCTAGAGATGAACTTTATCATCCAGGATGCAGAGAGCATTACGTGCATGTCAGAGCTTTTGGAGCACTGTGATGTAACGTGCCAGGCAGAAATCTGGAGTATGTTCACAGCAATTCTGCGTAAAAGTGTCCGCAACTTACAGACTAGCACAGAAGTTGGCCTAATAGAACAGGTACTGCTGAAGATGAGTACTGTGGACGACATGATTGCAGGTATAAATTGTTAACTGATAAAATAATTATTGCATTCTTGAACTGTCAACATTTGGTGGTTAGGGAAGGGTTTGGGATGTCTTGGTTTTTTATTTAAAGTGATTTTTTTGTTCTTGCTGCAATTGAGCCAAAGTACTTTTTTATCAATTTCAGAAAAAGGACAAAAACATATTCTTATGTTTAAACATATGTATATATATTGTTTAAAATAACTGCTTGTTAATTCATCTGAGAAGATAATGCCATAACGCCAAAAACCCAATATTGAAGGTAATTACAAACAATGTATTTTAGACTTCTTAACTTTTAAAGTAATATTTTAGTTTCTTAAATGCATTGATCATTTTGAATTGTTCAGATGTTAGAATTGTTATTATGATACACTTTAAATGTAACCTGCATCTGACAGCATATCAGAAATTATTCATAGCTTTGAATGCTGGACAATTGGATTTTATTAAACATTTTTGTAATGTATAGCTGTGCTCCCTATAATTATCTGTATGGTTTTTATTCTTGTGTCTTTTAATAACCTATGATTTTTTTCAGCATTAAAAAATAGAGTACTTTGCTTACTGAAAACAAGTGATGAAGCAAAGGTTTTCAGGGTTCTTTTGAAGGAGTTTTTTATTCTATACTCTGTCCTCTCAGAAGTAAGGTAGAGACTGTAATGCTGAGTTACTTGGTTAGAGGAGCAGACTTGGTTGTCACATTTAAATATGGCAGCTAAGAGCTGCATATCATTAGTGTTTATCTACTCCTTCTTTTTCTTGTGGAGAAACTTAAACCAAATACTTTATTTCAACTCAGTGTGAAAGTAGTTATTAATTTTTATATATTTTGGAACTGATAGTAGGATACTTACATTGTGAGGATTTTTTAAAGACTGGAGAGGTTTGTCTACCATAATTCTAAGATGTTCATTGATTATCTGATATCTGACACATATATAGGCTTTGTGGAACAGTAAGCCAGAAAGAATTTCAGATCAGAAGCAAGAGGACAATAACAACACCATGAAAACTGGATTATTCAGGAAAATTATTTCCTCTTCTTTTTGTCAGTATAAACGTATCTGTAATATGAAGTATTTGAAAACACTACATTCTGTATTTCAGAGCAAGTCTTAGTGAACACCTTGTTGATTAGAAATGTATGTCTAAATGCTAAAACCTGAAGTGTTATGCCAAATACCATACTGTGAGATTCAGACTGAAGTGTAACAGATCAACAGATTCACAGACCAATGTTTTTCATCAAGTATGTTTTGTATAGTAGTACTTTATGTGGCATTTATAACTGTGATGATGAGAATTTTAGATGATGATTTAGAGAATTTTAAAACATGCTTCACTAGTTGTAGAAGTCAGAAATCAAGATTATAGGATCCGGCTTTGTGGAGCGTTAGGGAACGGAAAAATCACTCTGAATTTAAAACTATTAATATAAGCCAGGGGTAGTACATTAATTTCAAAAAATAATGGAGCCTCTATCCCATAACCTTTTTCTGAGACACAGTAATTCAGAAAGAGACTTTCCACAGAGAAAAAACCAGTAAGCTTCCTCTTTTGTATACTTACATGGATAAATGGAGCATATTTAATATAAAATAAAAAATAAATATTGCTAAATATTGCAATTCTGATGACATTTTAGCTCTCAATGTAGTATCATTATCTGAATAGTTATATATAGGTATAAAGAGCATGTTTTTAACAGAATCATTCTTTGCAGGGTTTTTTTCTGATAACTGTAAATGGATGAGAATGCAGGGGTTTTTTGAGAATATTTCTGATATGAAAGAAACCAAATTAATCCTTTTGCTTTTATCTCTTGATTTCTGCAACACTTCAGCACACTTTTATAAACTGCAATAATATTGGTAATAAGTCAGAAGCAATAAATAGGTTTATGTAATAACTAGTTCGGTGGTAGGCACTTGTGAACACAATCAGTGACAACTAATGCAGTACCTCTGACCCTTAATTTGATATGCGGATGTTGAGGTCCTAATTGACACCAGGTGACTGCAGAACTGCTTTACCCCAAATATTTCTGTGAACTTTTCAAACTCACAGAATAAAGTAAGAAATTCTGTGGCAAAATGGGTACTAACAGTCAGGGAGGATGTTTTGAACAATAGCTGTGTTAGTGCTTAGTCCTAAGAAGTTAGTACCAGTTAGTTTTCCCAAAACATTTGCCAGTGCTCTCTCAGCCCAGTGTTTTGTAATTCGCTTTTATAATCTCTTAAGGGTACCTGTTTTCTGGGGTTTTTTTTTTGGTTTTGGAGTTGTTCACTTATTTTCAGCTCATGTCACTTACTCCTTTATGAAATGCTGTGATTTGGCCTACGTAAAGTTTAAATAGACAAGACTGGCATGATTACAGAATCACAGAATCTTAGGGGTTGGAAGGGACGTCGAAAGATCATCTGGTCCAACCCCCCATGCCAGAGCAGGGTCACCTAGAGTACATCACACAGGAATGCATCCAGGTGGGTTTTGAGTGTCTCCAGTGAAGAAGACTCCACAACCTCTCTGGGCAGCCTGTTCCAGTGCTCTGTCACTCTCACAGTAAAGAAGTTTTTTTCTGATGCTTACAGATGATACCTGTTTTATGTTCAGACAGCACACTTTCAGGACCAGCCTAAGTCTGAAGCCACTCTGGTTTCCTGAAAGTAAGACATCAGAAAATAAACATATACCTAATCTTTGCAAGTGAGAAGAATTTGTCTGTTTAGATGAAGAGGCTTCGTGAGGCTTCTCAGCACTTTAAGTATCTTACTTCTTGAGGTTTTGCAGATTCAAACTTAATCACCTTGAAAGTCTAAATTGCAATCCAGCTGGGATCATTGCCACTTGTATTACAATTTGCTTTCCAGAAGCATCACCTCTCAGAAGTCATCTCTGATAATCTGTTATACTGTTAGGGAATGGGCAGCCATTTTATCAGTGGTTAAGTGGAAAAGATTACTAAAAGATTTGTGTAGGTAATTGGCACATTTTTTTTAACAGCTGCACAAGATCTCCCTTTAGGGGCTCACTTTTTATAGTTCTGTGTTTCCAGGTGATGAGTTATGAAGCAGATCATCTGCTCTGAGAGACTCTTTGGCATAGTGTGTCTGTAGTACCTTCAGAGAAGTCTGAATGGTGGATGAGAAAGTACCCTGAACTCCTACAGAGCAGATGTGCCTCCCTTGAGCCCCATTTTATTTCCTGCAGTTTTGTTGTGATGTTATAGGTAATTGTTCTAAAATTGCTGGAACTGAATTCTTAAGCACTTGAACAGTTCCTGAGTTTTAAGCAAAAATGAGCTGTTGAAAAGCATTTTTCTATCAACTAATTCCACAAGAAACACTGCAAAATTATCACATTTATATTGCCAACCTGTATAAATTATTTTACTCGACCAACAGTTAAAATTCACAATTTCATGGCTCTCTGTTAGCAAAAAGTTAAGGAGGCATGAGGGTAGTGTTCCAATTTCCAAAGGTGCATTTCCAATGCTGTTTAATATGTCTTCTAAAGTTAATGCTGTACCATTTATTTTGATATATGATCATTGTTACTTGAAAGACAGGCAGGCTCTTTCACCATTTTATTTTCTTATTAAATGACTGCATTAAGCATTCCTTAAAGGTTTCTGATTAATTTAGAGAACATACATACAAAAGCTGCTTAGTATGAAAGTAGTTGGAAGGTGCCATTAACAGAAATAAATTCTGTTGCATTTAGTGAATTTTAGAAAAGCATTAAAATGAGAAACAATGCCTGTTTTCTCCTTCTAGACTTAATATTAATTTACACATTCTCGTTTCTGAAATGAGATCATAGATACCCATTATACATCTGATCTTATTTAATATAAAAAAAAATGAAGTTAATACTAAGAACATCCAATTGTAGTATGTTTTGGGACCTTTGCTCATTTATAAGTGAGTGGGTTATTAGGATTTATAAACCAGATGTAGACTGACTCTTTTTCATGAGATTTCTAAGTATGAATGAAGTTATATAATAGAGTACAATTCTTTTTCAGTCTTGGTATGTTGAAACAAGAAACAAACCTTGTTTATGGGTGTTTATAGCAATATTTTCTATTAGTATTAAGTGCTTTGACTTCCACAGATGTTGTTTTATCTTGTTACCTACTGGGCTTCAATCTTTCAAGTCTTTGTTTCACCCAGGGTTACATTGTTAGGGAGCTTACATTTCTTTCTCTGCATCTATAAATATGTATTTCTAATGCCTGTGGATTATGAACACATTCGGTAGAAATAAGAATTTTTCCATCCCATAAGGTAGTACAGGGCTATAATGATGAAAATAAGCAGCACATGTTCAGTAATTTTAAAAACCTGCCAATAATTTCTGTGTTTGCCTGTATTAATTTACACTTTTTTTATCTATTAGGAGATTTTGATGATACTCTGATTTTCACCAAACCATTTTCGCTTTTACACAACAATTTTTCTCTGTAAAGGAAGCAACTACTTTTTGTCAGCACCTGTAAGAATCATCCTTTCACTAAGAGACAAGGAGAATATGTAGTCCTGTATTTAAGATATAAGCTTATTTCTTGTCTTCTACAAGATTTAGGAGGGGGGAGGGGTTCTGATTGTCAAACATTTAAAATTTTATTAATACTGATTCTATTATGTCATAGCTTTTTGATTATGAAACTGCTTGATCTCTGAATTAATCTTCTAATGCCACATACATGAAGATAAGCAAGTTTTTTTTCTTTCTGCTAGAGTTGTAGTTCTTAGTAATGCATATTACTCCAGAAGTGGAAACTATGAGGCAAGGACCAGTATCCCACAAGCTAATAAATTATTGAAATGAAATTCTGTGTTTTAAAATAAAGATCCAAGCACTAAGTTAAAACCTGATATTCTTTGAAAGGCAGGCTATGTAATGCCATTACTTATAAAGTTTATGGATTTTTAGGTGTTTTAATGAAAGCTGTATTACATAAATTTGTTAGCAATTTTGATCACTACTTTTTATTGTGCTCTTTTCTTGTTTCCTCACTATTATGTTTTTGAGGTTTTTTGGTTGTTGGGTTTTTCACCCTGACTTTCATTTTGGTGAAAACTGGAAGTATCACTGTAACAAAGCTGTGGGAGCCATACAAATTCTCAGTATGAAGTGCTGTGCTTGAATTAAAAAAATAATGTCAAGCATCTTTTAGGTCAGACTTTTTTTTTAAATACTAACAGCAGAAAGAAGCAAGCAAGAAGTTCATAATGTATGATGAATGTTGTGAAATCAAAAGAATTAATTCTTCATAAATTATTTTAATACTTGGTTCAAAATGTGCTGCAAAATCTGAAACTGCATATGTACATTTATTTTTTAAATAATTAAAACAATGAGAATATGAAATCCTTTGCAAAATACTTAGGGCAGCTAAGTTTGATTTTTAAAATTTGTGAATACATTTATTTTTAAAGGTATTAAGTTTTCAGCTTTTTTTTTTTTTTTTTTTTTTTTGTCAAAACAATTAAATTCAGAGTTCAGAATAACTTTATTTTCCTTTGAAGATCTTCTAGTTGATATGTTGGGGGTTCTTGCCAGCTACAGCATCACTGTCAAAGAGTTGAAGCTTTTGTTCAGCATGCTTCGAGGCGAAAATGGAATTTGGGTAAGCTGTGATCAGATAAAGCATTAAGTGTCATTCCATTAGAGCCTGAAGTTAACATAAATTGTCTCCTGGGACATATAAACTTGAATTTTATTTTTTTTTATGTTGATTGAGCATATGCTTATGAAGTACTTTTGCTAGCTATTTTAGAATTAATTTTCTGTGTTGTTTGAGAACTGTCCAGTTTCCATTGTAGCCTAGACAGTACAAAAATAGTTGTATTGATTTTGTGCAATTTGCTTGTTTTCACAGCCAAGACATGCAGTTAAACTGTTATCAGTCCTTAATCAGATGCCACAGAGACATGGACCTGATACCTTTTTCAACTTCCCAGGCTGTAGTGCTGCAGTAAGTGTTCAACCAAAATAATACAACTTGAGGAAAAACAAATGGCTCCTCATTTGCATTTCCTTTCATTTGGCTTCAGAAATTTTTGAAAAGGAAATGAGAGGGGAAGTACATGCTTAAGTAGCGTAGACCTTGCCTTCCATAGCTTTGCAAGGTAGTTGTAGTGTTGAGAGTTTGCATTTGTGAGGTTGTAATGTCAAAAAGTAGATATTTGTCTGGAGAAATCATCATAAAAGTGAACACTGAAAATTCCAAAGAACAATATTATTTTATTTGAACAATGTACTTGATAAACTAGAAGCTTGAGGAAAATAGAGGCATAAGCTTGTGCGTATCATCACAGTTTACAGTGACAGCTGAGTGACAAATTTTATTATATCTTTGTGTCTGTGTGTGTAAACTCCATCAGCTGTTTTGTTTTCCTCAGGGCAAGAATTCAAATGTAATCTTCTTTTGGCTTTACTTTTTGAGATAACTTATGATGATGAAATTATAGTCCTTTCTAAACCTTCTAAGATATTCTCTCTTCACTGCGTGTCCATTCAGAAAAATGTACAAATAAAGTAAAATATTGTATACAGATTTGTAAGTATGGTTATTAAGGCAGTAAATACAAATGCTTAAAAATGAGAAATCCAGATTTGAGGTTCCATTCTGGTATGGAATAGAATATGCTTATAGGACTTGCAATCTCTTAAGAGGAAATAATACTGTTTTTTCATGCCACTACAAGAAGGGTGGTAGGAGCTTCTCATAGGCTGTTCTACTTGTATTTCCTGCTCTTGAAGAATACAGCTGTTGGTGTGGTAGATTGCATCAGGAAAGTAAACTGGCTGAAAAATACTGGTTTTCACCTAGGTTATTTTTGGCTAGATCACTTTGCAGATCTTGTTTGATATTCAGCTGCCCAAACAGATGTGTCAGCAAAATGCATGGGGTGGATTGTATAAGGAATTAATTATTGAGTTTTGAGAGTTTCATTTGTTACTGCTAGATTAAAACTACAGTTAACCTCTCATAAAAAGGTACATGTAGCAGCAAGACAGCTGTTGCAGAATATCATTGTCTACAATGACATGTACTGCTTTAACATTTTTTTCAGAGGCAAATCCTGATGAGATGTCCCTCTTACATTTAATTTTGTATTAGATCTTCAAAAAAAGTTTTGCAGGGAAAGAATTTAAAATATTTCTCCCTGACCAAAATGATGCATAAATTAATCAAAATCATATTTAAAAAAATTCAGTTCTGACAGGGGCATAAAGTTTCTTGATTGAAACACACAATAGGCATTTTTCTTTCCTTGATTAGGATCTTGTTGCACATACCACTCATCATTGACTGTGCACCTGTAAATCCAGAGAGTTTCAAATTTCCATTTCTTGAGTAGTGCATGTTGGATTACACTATGAGTTCTGGAGAGGAGTCATTCTCTGAAGTGGATCAAGGGTGATTACTTAGTAAGTCACCCAAACAATGAAGCACCTAATTAGAAAGAAGAGACTGGAAAGGACCTATTTACTAGCACTGATTCAGGTGTTCCGATGTGATGCACAGGGATGACATCTGACAGAAAAAGCATGTAATGTTGACCTGCCTTGATGAATATCAGCTTGGCCCTCTTTAAAGTGGGATGCCTGCTCTGTGTATATCCGAGACTTCAGTGGTAGTATCAAAGAGCCAGGAGTTTGCTGAACCAAAACTGGTCTGGCTGATGAGAGCTGCTTCACTATCCCATCTGAAGGGCTTTTCCCAGTACTGTGTTACATCTCTGCCAAGCTATATAGATAGCACATTAGCCAGTCCATTAGGAGGACAAGTATTCACATTTTGCGTATAGTTATCATACTGAAATGAAAAAATGATTAATATTTTAGTGGCATCATAGAAAAAATTATTTGTTAAGTGACCTCTGATGTTCATCCTGACTGATTTCACTCCTTGAAAAGTGCCCAACTTCAGAATTAGCTCAGATATTCAGGGCCTTGCCCAGGTATAGTTATCTGAAACCTCTTCATCAGTCAGCTAATTAAACTGAATGTATTTTGTACTATCTGTTTAGATTACTTTGATCTTAAAGTCCATTGATAAGATGGGTACTTACTGGAAGCTGAATGTATAGTTTAATTTCTGCTGAAGTAATTTTAAATCTTTTTTTGTCTTAATATTGCCCATTCACAAATTCATTTTCATGTCCTCTATTGGTAGAATTTATGAAGTTAAAAATTAAAGTATTTCAAAATCCTGCATTTATTCAAAAGCACTATTTGTAGGTTGGGTTTTTTTAATATTCTTTAATGAATTTAAAAGTTAAAATAGATCTGCAGATTTGCAGACATTTAACAGTACTTCTCAAAAATTATTTTTTTACTTCCTGTTTCCTTTTTTTTTTTTGCACTTTTTTTTCCTTCTAGGCGATTGCATTGCCTCCTATTGCTAAGTGGCCTTACCAGAATGGGTTTACTCTTAACACCTGGTTTCGTATGGATCCACTAAACAATATCAATGTAGATAAGGATAAACCCTATCTCTATTGGTAAGTAATTCATAACACAGCAGTTACGGCTTGTCTTGGCTTCCTAGTAACAGTTAACCTTTCTCATAGGTTTTTGTTTCTGACATGCTTTTTCCCCCTAAATATCTGTAGATTTTAATGCCCACTTACTTTATGCAAACTGAGACAAAGTCATCTGTCCTTTTTGCATTGCAATTTATAAATCCATATAACGCTGTGCCTTGTAGGTAACCACAAAATGTAGTGTGTTGGTTTCTTTAGGAATTTCAAAATGTGATTTCTTAGAGCTGTAAACTGAAAATATTGTCATTTTTTTCTATTAGATTATTTAAGATTCTTGGCTGATGTTAGTACTATAAAGCAAAATCTGTTGTACTCAGAGAGTGCCATTTGCATGGTAACTAGAGGTAATAGAAAGTAGATCTGTGAATATAAAAATGGCTCATTCATCACCCCTTCCCAAAAATTGAAGCTGTATTTTGTAATAGATTAATTGCAGGAGAGACAATTTAGCTTTACATAGGCTTGCTTTTTGTGATAAAAATAGAAATAATAGTTACATCTTTAACCAAGCTCTCTGATATTTAGAAATTACAGTATAAAAGTAAAAATATTTATTATATTGATCAATAGCGAAAAATGTTTTCAATTTCAGAAATTAATTCTATTTCTTTTTAAGTACAAAAAAAAAAAAAAAAAAGAGAAAAATAAGAAACCTTCCGTTCTGTCAGGACATGCTGATATTTCCATCATAAAACTGTATGTCAGTTGTGCAGAAAGATGAGGACTGGACATAAGTAAGTTCTACCAAGTTTTATCAGCTCAGGAATACAGGAGAAGAACAAGGAGGGAAGTAACCAAAAGTAACGCTTCTCCCTTCAGTCATTCTGGTAGTCTAAAGAGCAAAAGTTTTAGCAGTCAATTGAGGACAAGACCAGTAGATTGTACTATCAATACGTAAAAACCTTACTGTGCATTTAGTTGAAAAGAACCAAAATTATTAGTCTCTTCTTGCACAACAAATAATTCAAGTTTATTCTGAAAAAACCCCCACAAAAACAAACAAACATTTTCTCTAAATTACCAGCTGGGATATTGCTTTTGCATGTGTCTGATTTTTGCTAAGTGCTATAGTTATTTTACTGTTGAGATTTTTTCAAGCTGTTGGCTGTAGCCATCTTTATTAGCATGAACTATATTTTTGTTTATTTTTCAGTCTGTCAAGCACAATAACAAATGCAGTTATAGGACTGAACATGCATACAGGAACTTAACATGATCATTTGTTTCTAAGCCAGAATTTATATTCTAAAATTGGCAACTTTAGCTGGTGTATTTGATCTGAGAATTTGTTGCTGCTTCAGAACAGGAAAAGCATGCTCCAAAGTCACATAGCCTGTGATATATGCTGCTTTTCTTATGGTTAATAGTGTAGAAAGACCTTTAGCCTGAGTGATGAATGTTATTCTCTGTGATTCCAATATCATGTGCAAATAGCAATGGCATTAGTTTATAATAACTTCAGATGTTTGATTATATCTTATTTTGTACTTGTTTTTTTGGCCATGATATAGTTCTGATGTTTATTGTATGAATACAACTCTTACTGAATTCTAAGGATTTTGAGTGTACTTTTTGTAGTATATCTATTTGTTAGGCTAACTAGAATAAAGCAAAATAAAGCAGGATAAGTGGAATTAAGGATGCTTTTGACTTCTCTTTTAAGAATTTGTGCAAAATCTGATGTTGATGGATGTTTTAATCTAAGATCCGCTGTGTAGACAGTGAAATAGGAAAACTCAAACTTTTAGACATTCAATGATCCCTTTAACAACAAATATATTAAGACACAGTATAATAAGAATAATCACAGTTTAATAGATTATTGAAAATGTTTCTTTAAAAATTATGTGATTATTAAACAGTACATATGTAGGAATTTATGATTGACCTTAAGCACACTCACCTGGGAAGAATCCATCTTCTAAATCTCTGTACTTGCCTTGGCTAAAAGAGGAGATGGGATGACATAAGTAAGGCCTGGAATGATATCAATCCAGATATTAAGATTGGTTTTTTAGTGGTTTTGTTTGGTTTTTTTGTTTGGGTTTTGGTTTGGTGTGGTTGTTTTTTTTTTTTGGGGGGGGTTTAATAAATGCTTTCTTTCAAATTGTATCTTGGGATCTGTAAAGGAACTAGAGGGTGAATTCAGGCTCGACTGTCATAATGGATGCTTTTTATCCTTAATACATCCAAGTGCTTCTACAACCATTTCATGGAATAATGTCTAAAACTTCTGAAAGAACATTCTAAATTGTATTTTTGCTGATACAGGGGCAAGAAAATAAAACAAAAAAAAAAACAACCGCACAAAGCAAGCCATTTAGACTTTTCAGTCCTTCTCTAGAACTAGTAATAATAGAGATAATGCAGAACATTTGCAAAAGCACATAATGAATTCCAAAATAAGCAGGAAATAAACTTTTTTTTTTCCTTCAGGCAAGAATGAATTCATACCTTCTCAATCTCAGTACTATGATCATGTGTTAAATTGCTCGTAAAATCCTAAGCTAAAGTAACTGGATTCACTAAACAGTTTCACAAGTGGATGGAAGAATACTTGTGTGCTATTTAAGTGTAATAACATACAGTAACTTCTTTGGGAAACTGGCTGAAATGAAACGTAATTATAAGGGTTTTATGAACGATCTGTAGTAAAATTGTATACCAGCTGCTGTGGGAGGTAGTTAAGGACTCATAAAACTGTACGGGTGTTGGTACTAATGTTCTTGTTGTCTCTGGCATTTCATCTTTGGATGTGTCAAGTTCTGCATGTGTAGGTAGCTGGTAAGAGAATTTCTGTGCAGTATCCTAGAGACCAGTCCTAGCCTGCTTTGCCTTTGGCAAGAAATAAAATGTGAAGATTATAATAATCTGTATATGATAATGTTTAGAATCATATAATCATAGAATAAGAGGGGGTGGAAGGGACCTCTTGAGATCTGGAAACCCTTGCTAACCTTACTTTGTTAAAGTTGTAGTCCTTAACCAATTTGACTAAGGAAAATATATCCACAACTCGGATGGTCTTGGCTTCAGTGATCATTACCCTAACTAAATAATGTCTTGAAAGATAAATAATACTTGTGTATAGTAATTACCTTGAACCCAAAGTTGTATGATGTCCCAGCTGCATTTTTCTCCCAAACCCATCTCACATTTTTCTGTGAAGGATTTTTCTTTATAACTTAAATACGTGTTACTTTAAATAAAGATGAATTAGGAAACTGCGGGGGGAGCCTGACTGATAGTTTTTACCGTCTTGGATTTTTGTAAAGAAAGAAAAAAAAGTATTGAAATTTAGAATGTAGCCTGGAATTAAGTTAGTGATGAAGTTTACTAGTTCCCTCCAAAGAAATGAGAGAGGATATAAAGGAAATTAAGTTCACTATTGCAGATATTATTTTTTTTCTTTTTCATGGCAATTTAAAGTACTATTTAGACCTTGATTTGTTATAGAATAATTCCCCTTTTTTTCCAATTTCCTTAATAATTCTTTCTTTTCAGTTTTCGCACTAGCAAAGGTGTTGGGTATTCTGCTCATTTTGTTGGCAACTGCTTAATAGTTACATCACTGAAGTCAAAAGGCAAAGGTTTCCAGCACTGTGTGAAGTATGACTTTCAGCCACGCAAGGTAAGCAAAATGGTATTGACAGTAAAAAAGAGTAACATTGTAAATGAGACAAAGGGCTTCTGGGAAGAATGAATAAAATCTCTTTAGTGCACTTGAGTTATTAATATCTATAATTTCTTATTTAAAAGTAGCGTCTCTGATGGTCTTGTGAAGTTTTATGTCAGTTACAGACCAGAAGCAATTCAAGAAAAATCTGATAATTTATAAAGTAACACTGTACAGTCAACCTTTTTTTAAAAAAAAAACTACTTAATTAGCTCCAGATAAAGAAGAACTTTGAGTATTTGTACAATAGTTGTATCTTATTTTTAAAAGGTTATCATCCTATTTCTGAATATCCTGTACTTGGCAACTGCAATGCCAATGACTTGAACAATTTTGCTGACAATACTGGAGTTTCCTTATCTCTTGCTGGGCAATATATATATGTTCCAGATTTTATTCTGTGTTGTGGTGATTGGGGGTTTCTCATTCTTCATATTAAAACTTGGTTAGTTCTCTAGATCATAATAGCATTCATTTCTACTGTATGCCTAGTAGTCCTAGGAGAACAATGATTCTGTTGGCTTCAATATTTCAGTTAGCTGACTGAAACATTGACTTTTCCATACAGCAAGCATTATGAGTTTGTCATTGATAACAGCCTTGTATATATTTTGCTGTGAAGCTCTTTTCTTTTTTATGGTCTTGGAATTTATATATTGAATTTCAGTGCTCATTTTATTTTGAGAAACCAGTCAAACACGAGAATGCCATTGTTCACTCCTCAGCTTTATTTTCCACTATTTTTCTTGATATGTATTTGTGATTCAAAACAACTGATTGTAATTCTGTCATGTAGCTTTATTTAAGGTAATTTGTGTTGATTTACAACATAGTAATTTCTCTTTTTAACATGTTACTCAGTGATGTATAAAGCTCTATATATCAATATCTGCTGAGTGTATTGAAATGAATCAATCCTGTTTCGCAAATTTTGTTCAAAATAAAATTTTGATGTTTTGATGACAGTTCTGTTTTCTTTTAAAGTAGCTTGTCTAATGCCACTGATAAATGAACAGCCTAGGAACAAATGGAGTTGTTAAATTTTGGATTCTATTATTGATAACTAGCTTTCTGGACTTAGCTGATTGTTTATTTGTTAATGAAGAAGCAGTCTTTCATATTTTAGCAAGATATTATTTTGATAATTTTCATTATGAATTGCTAGCTTCCTTCATGCCATCAGTGGAAAATTTTACCTCTTGCTGTTCTACTTAAAATAGTTAATTCTAAAAAGCTAGTACATCTATATCGCATTATATGAATGCCAGTTTCAGATCTTGATCTGCTGGAGTACGTCCAACTTCCATGCCACATTTATGTGGCATCATACTTTTATGTGTGTCATACACTTTGGGTGATATATCAGATTTCAAAAGTATTTGAAATAAATATTTTAGAAAATATTTGCTAGTGGTTCCATATATTTTTCCATTAGTAACTTGTGTGTACATGTATGTGGGAGGGTACATAATGCATAATGGATAAAACAAAACCTTTCAAATACAATTCCTGCCTCTAAGAACACATCCCGTTCAACAAGTAGACTGATTTTTTCATGTTATTTAGGTATTACATTGATTCCACTGTGTAAGCATTGAATGTGTAAATACATATTAAAAAAAAAATATATACTCATTTACAAAGCAGCTTACTGTCCCAATTCTGACTTCAGAATTGTGATTTTTGTCATCAGTCATACTATTTTCTAGCCCTTTGCTTACAAGCAAAGATATTTCAGCAGTAACTTTTGCTAGAAACATCAGCCTCATTAAACTTCTAAATAATGGTTGGGATTTTTTTTAGATTTTTGTTGGATCACTGCAAAATTATATATTATATGTATATAATTTGCAGCATGGGCACCAAACAGGAGGAGTTGAAAGCCACCATGCTGCTGCAAAGCTACAACCTAGTTGCCGTTATTGAAACTTGGCATTGGTACAGATCCCATAGATGGAGTGAGGCTATCAATGGCTACAGGCTGTTCAGAAAGGAAAGGTGAGGAAGGAGTAGCAGAAGGGTTGCCCTCTATGTCAAGAAATTGATAGAGTGTGAAGAGCTGTCTCTGAAGAATATCCATGAGCAGGTTGAGAGCTTATGGGTAACAATTAGAGACCAAGGAAACAAAGGGAACCCTGTGGTTGGTGTCTACTACAGGCTGCCCAATCAAGGGGAGTCTGTTGAAGCCTTCATACTCTGGCCATAGGAAGCATTGCTCTTGTCCAGCTGGGCGACTTCAACCACTCTGACATCTGCTGGAAAAAGTAGCATGGTGAGTTGTAGGCAGTCCAGAAGCCAGGTAATAGACAGCCCTACCAGAAAGGATGCAATACTGGACCTGTTGGTCACCAACATGAGTGAACCAACTGGAGGCAGTCTGGGCTGCGGTGATCATGCACTGAAGAAGTCTGCAGCCTGGAGGGATGTGGGTCAGGCAGAGTCAAGTCAGGACTCTGAATTTTAGGAAAACAAAATTCTGGATTTTCAAGGAGTTAGTCAGTAGGACCCCCTGGAAAACTGCCCACAGGGACAAGGCAGATCTGAGCTGGAAGATCGTCAAGGGTGCTTTCCATAGAGCAGAAGAGCTCTCAACATCCAAGTGTAACACTTCAGGCAAGGAAGGCAAGGGACTAGAGTGGCTGAGCTGAGATCCACTGATCAAACTAAAGGGCAAGAAGGAAATGCACAGACAGTGAAAGCAAGGACAGGTATCATGGGAAGAGTATAGGGACACTGCCTGGTTATGTAGGGATGGGGTCAGGAATGACAATGAGCAGCTGAAACTGAATTTGGCAAGGCATGCAAATAATAATAAGGGCTTCTACAGATATATCAGCTAGAACAGGAAGGTCAAAGAAAGCATATCCCCCATGATGAGCAAGACTGGCAAACTGGAGAAAACAGACAAGAAGGATCAGATACTCAACAGCATTTTGCCTCAGTCTTTACTAGCACTCTGTCTTCCCACACCTCATGAATGGATAGACTGCAAGATGAGGACTGGAGGAGCAAAGTCCCTCCCACTATATGAGAAGATCTGATTCATTACCTTCTTAGGAACCTGAACATACATAAGTATATGGGACTTGACAAGAGACATCCCAGAGTCCTGAGGCAACTGGCAAATGTAGTTGCCAAGCCAGACGCCCTGATATTTGAAAAGTCATGGTAGTCCGGTGAAGTCCCTGTTGACTGAAAAAGGGAAACACTGTGCCCATTTCTTTAAAGGGTAGAAAGGAGGACCCTGGGAACTACCAATCTGTCAGGCTTACCTCTGTGCTTGGGAGGATCATGGAACAGATCCTCTTAGAAGCTATGCTAAGGCACAAGGAGTACAGAGAGGTGCTTTGAGACAGCCAGCATGACTTCACCAAGATCAAGTTCTGGCCAGCCAACATAGTGGCCTTTTAGGACTGCCTACATCAGTGGACAAAGGGAAGACCTATGGATGTCACCTTTTCTGGACTTCCCTCCATGTCCATTTTCCTCTGGTTTAAAGATATTTTGAAATAATATAGATACCCTCTGTAGCTGCCTATACATTGATTTGCAGATCTTAAATATTAAAATTCCATTCCTAGTCTTAGATTAGTTTAAAAGTTTGGGTTTTAAGGAAACTGAAGGTTTTCTTCTTGAGCTTACTCATCACAGACATAATGTTTTCTGTTGAATGGGTTATTTGAAAGATCACCACAGCATTCTACTGTGATCCTCTCTCTGATTGTATAATCCATTATTAATGATATGACAATTATCCAGAATTTGGTAGTATAGTAAAGAGCAGAGGAACAAATTCATATGAAGCAATCCAGATGGCCTCTTGAACTGGGCTGTAAAATTTGCTGCTGTGAATTTTTCCCTTTAATTTGATGATTTCTGACAGTTATGATAAAAAGGCAGAGATGTGTGATATGAATTTTTTAAGGTAAGTGTACTTAGAATTGGATTTCCCATCTGAACTCCATTGTGGTTTGAAATACAGTGTATAGTTTTTCAATTAAACTATATTTTCAGGAATGGAAGTGTATTCAACTTGTTAATTGTATGTATGCATGCCTGCATTTTTTGGCTTTAATCCCATGAGAGGATACAGGGAGGTACATAATTGCGTTTAGACACAGTGCTGCTGATTGGACATAACTTTCCACTGACACGAGTTTCAATTTTAGGAGTTCGTAAGGATTCGTCTGTTCATATATCTTTGCAAGACTGGTCACCTATTTTTAATGCTGTTCATTAACTTTATGTTTTATACCTCAAAAACTGCCACTATATACCCATTTTCCATTTCTTTCCAGTGGTACATGATAAGCATTGTACACATCTATAATCGCTGGAGGAACAGTGAAATACGATGTTACGTGAATGGTCAACTGGTATCCTATGGTGACATGGCCTGGCATGTTAACACAAATGATGTAAGAGTTTTGGTTTTTTTTTTCTCATAGCTTTAAATTTTAAAGTAAATTGAAAAAGAAAAGCAATACTGTATTTATTTTCTCTAAGTGTTTACAAAGTTCCTGTCTTTTTAAAACTTTCTTCTTTAATCTTTATGAATTATTTAAGAAATTACAAAATTCTGTATCTTGTGTAGCTAAGTAGGTTTTTTAATTGCAGTAAAACTGAGTAGCCTGAACTATGATCAGAGTCATATTGTTTAAACACTGTAAAAATATAGTAAGAGATTTCTTCTATGAAGTTTCCAATTTTAAACCGACAAGAAAGATAAAGGGACAAAAAGTAAAAGGTAGAACACAGAAGCATAGAGAAGTGTCAAAAGATTTATAGTATTAAGCAAAGTCTATAATCTAACATTTGTCTCCCAGTAACAAGCATATTTTGTCCCTTTTATTGTTTGACTTGACATCAGTAAATGGGTAGTTGACCAATATTAAAAATTCTATACATAGTATTAAGGCATTAATATGTAATTAGCATTGTTAGCAAGTACAAATTAACTGCTACAAAATTACATCCCTGAAACACTGAACAGTTTTCTTGGGTAGTAAACTTTTACAGAGATATCCTTTATTGGCCATGTAAGCCAAATAAAAGATACTTAAAGAAGTACAATTGCCTAGCTTTAGTCAGCTCAAAGCAAAGACACAGTGATTTTGCATCTGCTTGTGCCACATTTTTACCTGGAGAAGGTTGCATGTCTACCTGTAAATACCCCTGTATCTTTTAATTGGAATGAGTTCAAATTGACAGTAGATTCTTACAGAAAATGCATGAGTTCTATTCAATTCTCTTTCAATTATTTTAATGAAGTCTAGATATATTTCAAATGTTTTTGAAGGCACTGTCTTTGTGCCATTGACTTTGGAAGGTTTGAGAGTCTACTAATGATGCAGAAAACAGTTCTTTCTGGCCCAAAGTTTTGGAAGGGAGAAGCTAACAAAGTGATTCTCTGGTGCTTTGCCTTCAGTTAAAGCTGTGCTAGACTTTCAAAGGCACTTCATTAATCAGATTGCTATTCTTTTGTTATTTCTTATTTATAATAGAATGTTCCATTGTTTCTGACTGCCTGTGTAAGATAAGGAAGCTCTTTTGTACCTAAGGAAATTAACTGCCTTTTGCTAAATTCTAGAGGCAAATTGTGTTTGAAAGGGAGAATTTAAATATTATATATTAATTAAAGTAGGATGACACTGCTTGCCAAAATTTCTGATTATAATTCTTTGTTTTCCTGGTAGCATTTCTACTTGAAAGAAAAGGCAAACCTTTTAGGTTTTTTTTGGCTTGGTAATAGAAACACTTTTTGTGATAGGTGAGAATGTGATGATTGAAAAGCCAGCTGAGGTTTTGGAGGGTCTGGACTGAGTTACTAGTTACTATATTGTGTGTGTATTTGTAAACCTTAATGATAAATGTTTAGCAGGGAGAGCTGCTCCTTTTATTCATAGTTTCTTCACAGTACTCCTTTATTTTCTCATGTAGAAAAAGAGCAATCCCTTCTAAAGTTGGGATTACTTTACCAAGCTTTAAATGTTTTGATATAATTCTTTAAAGTTTCTGCTAAGGTTTTACTTTGTCTGCTGGAGAATAGACTGAGATTTGAAAGGCTCTAGTTATCATTAGCTCTCTATTTTTAATAACAAAAATCTTGTTATTACAGAAGTAGGTAATAGAATAGAAAGTAGGAGAAATTCAGGAAAGATATATAAATACAACAGCATGTAAAGGTATAAAGAGAAAAATAAGGGTGTTTGCATAGGCTCCTTGGAACTTCTATGCATTACCTAGGAAGGGAAGCTCTTGTTCAATGTCATATGAAGACTGAGTTGTTAAAAGTATTCTCTTTAAAAGTCTTGATCAATTATCCAGCTTGCATGGGAGCTACTATCTTCATACCCTTTGCTTAAGTATAACTTTAATCTCCCAAAAGATGAGAAGACCATAATAGCTTTTAGGGAAAAGAAAAAAAAACCTAGGCAAGTCAGGCAATCATTATTAATTTTCTACATCATATATTGTGCATAACTATTTGTGTGGATTATACTGATTGATTTAACAGTACAGGTTGCAAAAGCAGATAGTGAAAACTGAGGTGTCAGGAGTTGCATAGTGTTGTCTAAGTGCATCTTACTCTTTTCAGTGTCTTATACAAGAAGGTTGTAAGATAATTGAGATGTAGTGTTTAAAACAATAAATATAATGAAGACAAGACTTCTGAGTTGCTCACTGTGTCAATGCTACCACTGGACAAAATACACTATGATTAAATATTTTTTAGATTAATAAAATGTTTATTAGCTTTGCATTATAGAGTTTAAAATTAAGAGAATGAGTCTTCAAATCTGAAATAATAGGAAATGGACAGATGGAGAACTGCAGAAGGTCTTTGTGCAGATGAGTTGTTGGAAAGAAGAATGGAAAATAGCAACTCCTGTGACTGAAGAAGACAGAAGAGGAGTTTAAGGTCAAACCCAATCATTAAAGGCTGTGGCCATAGTGGAAGACTGTGTACCAGTTGCAAACTAGAAAAATTTGTTGTGTTTTGTTTTTCTGCTAAAGATGTTTAGCTATATTAACGCAAGAATAAAAGGAGTGTGTATTTCTGTGTGTGCTCTTGTGTGTTAGCAGTGGGAGTTCTGATTATAATTACAAGGAACTTCAAGGCTTTCATATTTCATAGAAGGCAATAAGGAAGGTTATTTGGTACTTGAATGTACTGTTCTAATTTTCTCTGTTGTATGTTGAACAATTAATAATAAGCAAATCCTAGCAGCCAGTCATAACAGCGTTGTATTGTTGACCCATAAAACAATTAATGTTCCAATATTCAAAATGAAGTTGTTCACTACAGGGAACCAGGTATTGAATAAATGATTGATTTATTTTCTTAATTAAAGTGTCCCTTTATTTTTTGGCTTCAGAACCTGTACATGAATATTATTTCATTGTATAGTTTGTATAAGTAAACTCAATTACCATTTCCTCTTTCTGATACAGAGTTATGATAAATGTTTTCTTGGCTCTTCGGAGACTGCTGATGCTAACAGAGTGTTCTGTGGCCAGCTTGGAGCAGTATATGTATTCACTGAAGCACTCAACCCAGCACAGATTTTTGCTATACATCAATTAGGACCTGGTTATAAGGTAAGAGTGGATATTAGAAAACTTAAAACTGGAAAAATAATTTATAGGTATAATTGGAAGATATATGTGAATGTAGATACTCCTCTTAGGAACATGTAGGGTTTTTTGATTTGTTTTCAGCAAAAGAAGAATGTTTCAAATTTCCTAACTAATGTTCCTTTTTACCAGCTTTTTGAATGATGCAAGTCACTTCCTTACAGTGTAGCTAAAACATGTTCATATGTGAAATTTATGACTTTGGATCATAATGAGATTGGAGCATTTTTCTATTTGGTGTACTGAATACCAGGGAAAGAACTTTCTTCCCTACTCTTCCTGTTTAAACATGAGTTAAGGCAGATTAACATTCAAAACATAATAAATCAGATATGTTCCAATGCACAGTTTCAAAAAATTCTGCTGAAATAAGAGTTGAGCTTTTTACTTATGCTTTGTCAGTGACGTTCAGGGAACAGTTTCAACAAGTTCATGGTGCATGCATAAAATTGGATCTCCAGAATCATGTTTGTCTTGGAATGTCTGTATATACTTTTATTTCACCAAGAAAAGCAGCACCAATGCTTAGCAGAAACTGCCCAGTGGAGCAGGCTTGAAAATTAATCCAAACCACATTAAACACTATTGAATACCTATCATCAGTGATTCCCAAATGTTCTTTTTCTGATGAGTGAAATTTGCAGAATTACCTGAATTAATATTTAGATTTTGGTACATATTATATACTCTGAAAATAAAACCTGTAAAAAATATCAAGGAAAAAAAATCAACATTTAGATTCTAAAAACTATTGCTCTAAATCATTGAATGACAGTGACAGTTGAAAATATCTTTTATGGTATGTGTATAGTATGAATAGTCAAGTATATATTAAACTTACTCAAAGAAGAAGTGTTATACATGGCTGATGGTTAAAACCTATCTTGAAACTAAAAATGTTTAGTCAGTCAAGAGAAGTGTATCACCTGTGTAAAAAAATGAGTAATCTGTTCCAAACTTAATACTCTGTTTTGTTTGAACAAATATTTCTGCAAATGTTTTTTGGTCATACAAGAAACCATATACTTCATAATAAATGTCGTAAATTGTTATGAATTAATTAAGTTCCTGGATTTGCAACAGTATAATGAAGTGATACAAAATAGGAATAATACTTTAATTTGTTTCAAGAAGTGAAAGAAGAAGTCAAATAATTTTTTGTGAGTGTTGAGGGGTTCAAAAGCCATACAGACTTTCAAACTAAATGATGTTTCCAGTGGTTACTGCACTAAACTTATTACAGTGCTGTCAAGTTACCTTGCTTGATTCATAGGCTTCTCTTAAACTACAGTTCTTCACACTTGTAGCTTCTTACTGATTTTTGTAAAATGTCAGTTAGATGAAATTTAATACTTTAAAATTATTTTTTTTTCTTTGGTATATTATGTTTTTAGATTTATGTCATGTCCCAGGATAGTTAACACCTCCTACCTCTCTAAAATAGCTTCCTTCCTTTTTTAAGAATCTGAAGGCTTATTTTGCTAATAGCAGTTAATAAGAGCAGATTCCTAGAACAGGATTCTAGAAATAACAAAATTTCTTTCTTTATCTTCCTTATTTCCAAAAAATAAGACAAAACAGAGCCCTTTTTTTTCACCTTCTTCCAATTCAAGATCTACCCATAACAGAAAAAAAGAACCACATTCTATAATTTAGAGATTTCAGAGCACTGACTGTGTCTTTCACTCAAAGCTTGCCTCTTCATGTCTCAGTTAATTTCTGTAAATTCTTTCAGATTCTGTGTGGGTGCAAAGATCTATCAGTTCAGAACATTTCAGTATGGTATTTCATAGTCCAGAGTAGCCTTGATTCACACATAGCTTGAATTGCTGGATGTTAGAAATCATGTTCTGGCTTTCACTTCGCTTGCTGATACGAGCTGGTCTTTCAGGAACTTTTCTTCAATAGTTCACTACATATTCTGTTAATTCTCTTTGCTGATACTGTTAGCCAACAGGAAGAATCAATTATTCAGCTTTTCCAAAGCTGCAACTATTTAGATGCAATGTGAACTCGGATCGTGCCAAAGCTTTTGTCACAAAGAAGGGTGATTTAAAATACTTGAGTATTTTAGTAGAATGTCTTCATACAGATGTTTTTTCTTTCCTGTGACTGTCTGTTTTAGTTCCTTTGATTTACAATTCTTACTTTAGTCCACTATACTCCAGGATTCTGATTCTTCAGGGAAAATGGCCATGCTTTGTTAAGTGCTTTACCTGCTTTGTTCATGACAAGAGACTATGATTTTGCCTCTCATTCAGCTTCCCTCATGATCTTTGATGTCCCTAGTCTACAATGACTTTTGTTAAGACCTATAGAATACAGAGAGATCTGCCTACTCTAGCAACATACTAGAGCTCAGGACAGTGCAGTATGCACACATCAGTGAATATATTTAGTGTGCAATGTCAAAAATAACACCCAAAACACAATTCAGGAAAAGGCAGATCTTCATCTACCTTCACAGAAAAGTGAATCTGGTGCATCTTGACCCACTACTATTTTGTGGTGTGGGTAGAAGCAACAAATTTTAGGATTAACCAGGCAAGTAGTCAAAATTGTAATTTTTTAAATTTATTTATTTAGAATATTTATATAATTTTATATAATATTTATGTCTATTTATTGCAAATTACATGCTTATTACATAATCTTGTAAGATAGAAAGAGTTTGTAATGTTTCCATGCTGATCTTCCTTGACATGTCTTTCTGAATGCATTTATTTTTAGCCAGCATGCCTTAATATAAATATTTATTTATTAAGCAAAGAGGTAGTTTTTTTTGAAATACTACATTTTAAGTTGTAGCAAAAGGTCTATTTTTATTTATTTTTAGTACAAAAAATCTTATATTAATTGTGTGAGTGGCAATACGGAAAAGTTGTCACACTTCAAACTTTGAAAAGAAGAGAGGAAAATATACTAGCAGTAGAACTCTGCAATTTGCCTGTTCCCTGTTAAGTCTTCCCAAATTAATCCATAAAGTATCTGGAAATTTTAAATCGTTTTTAGTAGAAACATAGTAGAATTCAGTATTTCCATTCCCAGATTTTGTCTGTAGTACAGCATGCTCCTTCTGAGTCTTGTAGTTGCTAAACAGGACTTTTACCTACTGTGTTGACACTTTAAGGTGCTAGAGGTTGCCAAAGGAAAAGGGAAATGAGAGCAGCATCCTTGCTCTCACTGTGCTTATTCTGCTACCCATGGTATTCCCAGGCAGCAAAGAAGAGAGAGAAGCATGTCTCAGCTGGGATCCTGAGGGACTGATACACGTAATAGAATGGCCAGGAAAGCAGTGTGGGTGGAAGGGATGCGTCTGATAGCAGCGTTTGGTGCTTTTTATAAAGGGATGTTTCAACAAAGCCCTTTTCTAATAACCCTGCCCACTCTATGCCACTCCTTTCAACCCTCCCATATGCATTTCAAAATGAGTTATCAGATTATTCTGTATATTTTTGCATCTTAGTTTGTGCTTGATTTGGGCTACAGCCATCAATCTTTTTGTAATGTATGAAGGTTGGAGTAAAAATGCATTAATGCACATTCATACAAACACATGCAAAATACTCTTGAAAATTCAAATTTGCTTGACCCAATTATATAGTACAAGATAATATTTTATTTATGGTCTCTGAACCTACTATACCAAATATGGTGGATTGTAAATTTAAAAGCAGCACTCTTGCTGCTAAAGGAAAGGCAAAGCTGCTGGTTTTTAAGTAGTGGTCCTGATCATGCATCACTTTTACTGGAGAAGACACTGCTGGAGTAACTAAACTCCCTCTGTTCCCTCTCCTATTCCTGCATGCCCTTTTTACCATCTTTTGGATGCTGTATGTATTTTTACCAAAAATATACAAAAATACCAGCTGCAGTCAGGTGTCCTTCTGTTCAGTCTACGTCAGTCTTACAACCCACATACAAATGGATGCTTGTCACACAACCTTCTATTGCCATGTGACAGTCACTCGAGCTGATGTGCTTTCCCATTATTTGCCTGTAAGCAAGAGAATTTTCTCAGAGTTTCCAGCAGCCTTGAGAGCTCTGCAAAAGCTGGGTGGGGGGGGGTTATTGGTTTACATGATTGGTAAGAACCTGTAATTTATTTGAGAAGAGCCTGGAAGGTTCTTATTTTAATTCTTCTTGCCTGAATTACCAAAACCCTGGCGACAGTACTTTAAACAATTTCATTATTTAGGACTTCTTACTTTGTGGGTAGAGGGAGGGAAAGACTTGATAGGACCAAAGGGGTAAAGAGAATTGTGATGCCTATATACAGTGAAAACAAGCAAAATTATTCATAATTAACCTCAGCAATGAATTATTTTAAATTGAGTAAAGATTTTAGAAATATATTTCTGAATATATTGCTGGTGGTAATTTCTAACAAATTTGTTTTACAACACTGTGTATTGCTCTTAGTTTTCTTTTTGCCACTGTCAAATGATTGTTATATGCAAAAGTATTTATGTGCCAAGTCAATCTGACAATGCTTTGCAGAAAGGCAGAAATCTATCTTGTGCTTGATTGATTTGTCAGTGTTGCCAGAAAACCTAGCTTAAGATCAGCCATGAATCATGTTACATTTAAGTGTCGTAGAAATTTTAAGTCTTCCTTTATAAAAGCTTTAACATTGAGAATAATCATTTTGAAATACAGCATTTTAAATTTGATATTTTTTTTTATGGTATAAGTAGCTTGTTTATATATACTCCTGACTGTGAATGAAGCATGGGTTTTAATACTGTTTAAAAATAAATATTCCTTTCATAAAAATGGTGTAGGATTTTATATTCTAATTTGAGTGAGTTTATATAAAATAAAATACAAGGCATTTAATTTGTTCTGTAGTTTTAATGTGTTGTATGCTCAATTTCTTATTTTAACATATTTATAGACGTTTAATGTGACACGTTTCTTCCAGATAGTTAATTCTGAAACCTGTGAACACTGATGCTGAAAGGAGAGAGAAGTAATACTAGGTAGAATATAAAAAATTACATTGACATGTTGGTGTGCAGTAAATAAGAAAGTCATGGCATTGTTCAGTAGCATTAAACTAGTGGAAAATTAAAACAAAGTTTAGCACTTTCTATATTCCTTCTCAAGTCCAATGTATCTTTTTTTTCAGAGCACATTCAAATTTAAATCTGAAAGTGACATTCATCTGGCTGAGCACCATAAACAAGTGCTGTATGATGGGAAACTTGCAAGTAGCATTGCTTTTACTTATAATGCGAAGGCTACTGATGCTCAGTTATGCCTCGAATCCTCACCAAAGGAAAATCCTTCAATTTTTGTACACTCCCCCCATGCTCTTATGCTTCAGGTTTGTGCTACTAAAGTGATGTTCTGTGATTACAGTTAACTCAACACCTTTTGTATAATGAGAGTATTTGTGTGCTAGCAACCAAATAGATTGTTGTTTTATTTCAGCCCCTAGTGTACCTGTCACTTGAACTGTTCTTTCTTTGCTAACTTTCTAGAGCAGAAAATTGTTATTTCTTCACTAAGAAATACATACCTCATGCCATAAGGCACAGTTTGTCACAATACTAAAGTTTTTGTTTGATGTTAATGCCTTTAAGTATAGTGCTTATAATTGAAACATTAGTAATGAAAAATAAGTTAAAATAAGTCTGATTTAGTTTGCACTCGATTGAGTGTTAAAATGTTTCCAAGTTATGTTTGTAACCGTCGTTTAAAACTGAGATTAACTTTTCCTTTTATTTATGTATTTTATTATTTCAGGATGTGAAAGCTATTGTTACCCACTCCATTCACAGCGCAATTCATTCCATTGGAGGGATTCAAGTTCTTTTTCCTCTCTTTGCCCAGCTAGACAATCGACAGCTGCATGACAGCCAAGTGGAAACAACAGTTTGGTAAGCTTCTTTCAAGCAAAACCCAAGTGAAATTAAGCTAAAAATATTTCAGGTTTTGTTGTGGGAATGTTTGACATTATGAATGTTAACTTTTGAACTTTGTTTCTTTTAAAATAGTATTATTTTTTAAAAAGTAGTTCCCTGTAGAGATGTGTAAATTTATGTCATTCCAGATGGAACTGGCATAAAATTGATTGGATTAAATAACGAATTCAAATCACTGTAGAGTTTTGTAACAGTTTTTGCAAATTCGTAAATAAACCAATGTGCTTTAATTTGAAAGTGCAATGTTGTTTACTTTCTCAAGGTCTGTGTCATTTGACTTCCTATTTAATAACATTCACAATTAAAGAAAGAGATCTCCTTCCATATTAATACATGGTCAGAAAGTCGTAGAGTTATGACTAGTTATATTGTGGCCATATTGCAACTGCAGCAGTGACTGGGGACACAGCAAGAGTGTTTTAAACAGGGACTCATGAAGTCTCTGCTCTAATACCATGGAATTAACCCCTAGGTTGAAAAGCCTCAACAGAAGTTAGATGAGTGATTCCATGTGTATCTTGCAAAGGATTGCTTAGAAGTCTGTCAGTACCTACGCTGACTTGTTCAAAGCTAATTCAGTTGTAGTTATTTTTGCAAAGATCTCTTGCCACTCAGAGCAGGTTCCTACTCTAGTGGCAATACCAGATGTCTGAATTTGTCATAACAAAGTGTGTGGCCTAAGCCTTTGGACGTAGCAAAACTGAAAAAAAAATACTGAAGAACTGGTATTGTGTTTCCCTGAACAAAGAAAAACCAGCTCGAAAACAATGATTGGGGTGCAGCATAAGATGACTTGTATTTGATTAAATTTATAAAATAGGTTCTTAATTCAGAGTACATGGCTTGTTTTCCTGCTTAGTAAACTCTGCTGTTAATTATTCTGGATGTTTCCTGTGGCATTAAATAGTGAAGTTAAATTAGTTAACTGGAAAAAAAAATAAATAATGCTAAAATTGCTGACAATTTTGAAGAATTAAAAAGAAAGCGAAACGTTGTAATTTCTCATGAAAGATCACTTGTTTCACTCTAATTTAAGAAATTAATCATTTTGTGGAAGTTTTGTCAGTCATCTGTTTTCTCTTTTGGTAACTCAAGTTTATGTAGCTAAGATGGCTGCTGATTTAAATTTGTTTTTCTGGAGTGAAAAGTTAATGTACTTCATGAAAATATTTTAGTACAATTTTAGAAGTAATACCACACAACTAAGCACAAGAAATACCACAGCCTTAAATACCTCCAGTACCTGAAGGGGGCCTACAGGAAAGCTGTGGAGGGACTTTTTACAGGGACTTGCAGTGAGAGGACAAGAGGTAATGGTTTTAAACTGAAAAAAAGAGAGATTTCGGTGAAAGATCAGGCATAAATTCTTCAGTGTAAGGGTGGTGAGACACTGGAACAGGCTGCCCAGAGATGCTGGGGGGGCTCCATCCTTGGAGGTGTTCAAGGGCGGTTGAATGGGACTCTGAGCAGCCTGTTCTAGTGGGAGGTGTCCCTGCCCGTGCAGGGGAGTTGGAACTTGATGATCTTTAAGGTCCTTTCCAACTCCAAAAATTCTGTGATTCTGTGAACAAATTCTGGTTCAAATCAGTATGGTCATACAAACTATTTAATTCAATATTAGAGACAGAAAAGCTGGTTGTTGTCTTGGCTCATGTGGGATATTTACTTTTTTTGTGGCCTGTTTTCCACTATGTACTTTGCAATTAAGTGTTGTGAAGTAAGTGGAATAGAAAAAAAAAACCACTCAGTTAAAGAATTTTGAAAAAACAATTCCCTGTATGTTTTTATTTACTGGCATAGCAGTAAGCAAAAATGCTTTATTCCAATTTAAGGAAGATTATGTATATATGTGCCCATACATATGAATAAAATATATGTTAAAGTAATATGTAATGTGTTAAGTAATTAAAAAGCTAAGTCTGTAATAAATGATAAAGCAGTGAATAGGTGTGGTTAAAAATTGAGAGCTAATACAATGTAAGTTTTGTAAGTCAAGATAAAGACTAATTCTTCCCAACTGTGTGGTCGTTCCAGTGGGTAAGAACATTCATAAAGTTCAATTTAAAATTAACAGAACATTTCTAGAATTAGTGGAACTGTAAGTAGGGGGAAAAAAAAGAAAAAAAAAAAAAAAAAGTGGTTCTTGAATAAATCAATGCATTTCTTACATAATTAGATCATATTCTAAAAAGAGATCTGTAATTCTTTATGCTGTATGAGTGTACATAACAGAAGAAGATGTGATCCTGACTCAGGAATATATTCAAAAGACTTTTAAGTAAATGGCTGCTCTATGAAATGTAACTTAAATGTTGAACTAGCATGGTTTGGGTCTATTTTTAAGATTCATTGTGCAGCAGAGTAAGGGAAGAAGTGTGCTTACTCAATCCTCTCCTTCTTTCCCCTTTTTTTCTAGGCTATTCTCTCTTTATTTGTTCCTCTCCAAAACGCAGTTGTTAAACTGTATCTGATGCTTGTTTATAACTTTCTTACCTATGAAAATGTATCTGCAACAAAGGGCTGCTAAACTCCTGCATGAAAAGTAACTGGTACTCAATCATTGCAATCTATGTATTTTTATAAGCTGATCATCTTTATGCTGCTTTGCAAGAAAACAAAAACAAAACCAAAAAAACCAACCAAACAAAGAAACAAAAAAAACCAACAAAAAAACCCCAAAAAACAAAACCCCTGAAAACAATTACAGTAGACTGCTATGTTTGTAAAGGCTTTCTATGGCTGTAGAATTTTTTTATTTATGGTGGGCAACTGGGGAGACTCAGAAGTTGTCTCTTGAAGAGCTGGGCTGTCTTTTATCTTAAGGTGTTCCTGGGAGGTGGGAAGTTTGATACTCCAATGTTAGTCTCTGAAGTTTCCAGACTGCATTTCTGAATCCTTCTCACCTGCTTCTCTTCTGCACATATTAAAATCTATTTAAAAGTTCTTATTTAATGATTTATTTATTTATGTTTTAATATTAGAAGGAGTTTGTAAAAAGGACTTTTTAGCTGTCTTGATCCAATTCCAGTTTTAATATTTTCTAAATTAAAGGTTTCATTCTAAATAAATTTTTAAATTATAAAGTAGGTGAATATGAGTATAGCAACTTTGTGGTTTAATGGTATTCTCTGTACATGTTCTTTATTCCTGTAATTTGTATATATGTGTCTTATCTACAGCTTCCATGAGACCAAGTATTGAAATAACCTAAAATTCTGCTTTTAAAACACTGAATAGAATCTTATGCTTTCATACATATTAGATTAAATGGTGCACCAGCTCTTCAAGACAGTGGTCACTCAGATTTAATGCCAAGACTGCTACTTTTAATCCTGCTTTTCAGTACTCTGGTTGGATTAGAAAATGTAGTAGTTTAGGTCAATAACTTGTTTAATGTAAGAAAATAATTATATAGAATGTTTTTTACTGTTATGGTACTATATGGGCAATATGATAGGAAGGACTTGCTTTATTCACTTGTGGTCTCTCATGTGTGATTGTTAATTCATTTGGGTTTGATGAGCACTGGCACACTGACTGTTTCTGGCAAGGTATTGGATGCACAGTCTTTGGCACAAACCCAGTTTCATCACAGAATAAATGTCACGTGTTAATTCAGATTAGAATATTGCTGTGGACTGTACCACACTGAGAAAATGCTATGCCTCTTTCTTTAAATAAATGAAGTCATTTCAATAATTCTTTTATATACTTATTCTAGGAGTTCGTAACTGGATTTGCTAGATTGTATGCAGTACAGAATAAAAATTTAAAATGCTTTTACTGCTTATCATACTAAATCAATAGTGTCTAGGCCCACCTTAACTTTCTTAAAGATTATATATACACCCAGCTAAAATTTTTAGCAGAGTAAACATAGGGCTCTTTTCAGTCAGTTTTACTGCTGACATTTAATATAGGCAGCCCTGTTACAGCCCCTATTGCCCACCTATTGTAAGTCAGTGAAATGGAAACATTGGTGAGGAGTAACAATAATATTTCAGCTGAAGTTCTTCATTTTTTCCTGTAAATGTTTTCTGTGTTTTGCTTTGGTAAGTTAGTATCTTGTGCTCATTTTTTTTTGCATTTTTTTTATATTAAGATTCTGATTTGTTGGGTTCATGTCTATACATAGTAATGTTGTTGCATCTGCTTTTTGTTAATATGAAATAGCTGGGAGTTTCCAATAATTCTTCATAATGTCATTAGTTTAATTTTATCTTTAAAATCATGGTAGCAAATAACAGGAACACCAAGTAGTATCATACTTACCTAATCCATCCTCTCCTACTGTCTTTCAAGATTTTTCCACAACTGGCCCAGGTATTTAAACTTGAGTGTGGGCACAAAAGTAATCCTTTCTGAGGTAACTGCGTTTGCCTTTGTGCCTCTGATGGAAAGTCAAGGTCCCAGTCCATCACTGCTTCAAGTCTACAATTTAGTGTTTGCAGAGTTGGGTGCTTTCCTCATGCATTTTGATGGGAAGAAGACTGAATTTTGCACCTGGAATTTCACATCTCTGGTATAACACAGTTGTGCTAAGATGAAATCAGTTGTATTGGAATCTTCCCAAACT